GTGCCCCTAGGACATGTCCTCCCTCAAGCTGGGTCCTGAGGCATGTGAGCAGACCCAGGCCTGGCTGCAGGTTGGCTCCCGTGGAGGACCTCCTGATTCCTGCTGCCCCATCAGGCTGAGCTCACCTGGTCTGCAGACTGTTCCCAAGCACTCACCCAATGTGTCAGGGAAGGAAGGGATGAGGAGGAAGCTAAGTCTTTCCCTGCCTTCAGAGAAACCATAGGCAGGCTCAGAAATCATCAGTCAGGCAATAAGAGGGGGCTGGAGTAGGCCCAGGGCATGGAGCCACCAGTTGTGCTCTGGGGTGGGAGTGTGCTGGGGACAGGTGCACCAGGACAGGCTCACTCAGGAGGCCTCCAGGCTGGGAGCCATGAGCAAATGGTCACGGGACTGCGTGGACCTGGCTGGTGGAGGTGTGAGGAGGAGGAGGAGTGCCAGGCCACAGAGAGGCCTCGTATGTTTCACCAGACAGCCAAGACCCCACTCCACAGAGCTCTCTAGTCTAGAGCAGAAGGGCGCTCCTCTGGTTCGAGGATTTTTCTGATTCATGTGAATTCCTGGGGCCTGCTTTCTCATGTTCTTCCCTGCCTTGCGCTTTCAGTTTAGGGACCTCCTCGATTTCACCGCACATCAGTCCAGATCTCAACCCAGCAACTTCCCTCTTTCTTCCAAAACCTTGCATTTGGTTTGAGTGTTGGCACTCTGCAGGAACCCCATTCCAGCTAGTCAGGCCTCTCATGGGCTTCACTCTGACCCTCTGTCTCATCCTCCACCATCTCAGCGGGACAACCAGACCCATGGAGACCCCCAGAGTTTCCCATCTATCCAAGAACTCCCCACAGCATTTCCCCAAGACACATAGTTCCTTGCCTCACAGGAGCCTCAATCTTAACAGGATCCTTCATCCTTCCCTTGACAGGGCCCTTGGGTCATGCCATAGGTACCGGGGTTCTTCCAACACCCCTTCTTACTTCTAGGAGAGTGAGAACAAATCCTGTGGGACTATGAAAGGAACAGCAACAGCCGCAGCAGTAACAGCAGATGCCAGCGGCTGAGAGCTGCCTCCTCACAGGGTGCAGTCTTGGACAGAGACACAGCCCCACATCGATCTTTGCCACAAACTAGTGAGACCAGGAGTAGAACCCCATTCTAAAGATAATGGAAAGGAGGCTGCGGAATGGTTCTCTTACTCATTCAGTCACTAGGTCTGTAAGTGGGGGCAAGAGAATTAGAACTGGGCAGGGTTTGTATCCCCACCCCTGCCTATAGCCTCTACCCTCCCCTCATCAGGGAAGCTGCCCTGCCACCACCTCTCCAGGCCTGCATCTCTGTGCCTGGTGATGACTGTCCACCAGGTGACATTTTCCTCAGGAGCAGGTGTGCCTGGTGGTTTGGCTTCACTGACCCTGGGGAAACTCAACTTGGGAGCCAGCTTTTCTCACAATTCCCCAAGAAGCCAGAGGCAGCAAGCATAGCCCTATAAAAAGCATAGAGACAACTCAGGCAAGGACAGATGCCAAGATAATGGCAAGGGTCACCCTGCCCAGTCCTCTGGGCCGGGAGCCGACACTCACACAAGGTCCCCTGGTTGGCCCCTCCCTTCTGAAGGTACTGGCCACCGGGTGCTAAGTGGAAGCAGGACAGCTCCTGCTCTCCCCCCTCCCCACAGCCCGCTGAGTTCTACATGCTCCTGCCTGCACATCCTGGGGATCCACACTGCCTCAGCAAACAGTGTGTGGCATTTCTGACAGCTTCCTACTGAGCCACAGGAAGGCCAAGGAAGACTGAAGCTTAAACAAAAGGCAGGGAGGGGAAGATGGGAGAGGATCACCTTCCTGGCTCTGTCCTGCTTCATAGGCTGGAAAGTCAGCCACCTGGGAGCTTCAGACCTTTCCCGCTCCCCCGCAAGACTCCTGAGAAAAATGTCACCTGGTGAACAGTCAACAAAAACAAGACTCCCAGAGACAGGACAAGTGTCAAAGGCACCTGCGGGCTGCAAGAGGCCGGGCTGGGACTCGCTCGGGTCCCTGACCACAAACTTCAGCCTAGCCAGGGTGAAAACTCTCAGGCCAGCCTTGGATGACTGAGGGAGTCAGGCCACCTGCAGAGGCTCTCCTGGGAGGCCAAGGACCCGCCCTGGGGGGCAGCAGCCTGAATGGTGCCAAAGTGGCAGGCTGTATTCCAGAGAAGTACCCAGGAGGCTGTCCCAACCAACACCCACACTGCTCTGAAGGGACTTTGCAGATAAAATCAAGGTTACGAATCAGCTGACCTTAAAACAAGGATGTGATCCTGGATTATCTGTGAGTTAGTGCCATCCCCTGTGCCCTAGGCAGCAGCAGCAGAGTTGGTCAGAGAGGTGATGTGGGGGGAGTGGGAGGCAGAGGAGGCAATAAGGATATGAAGGGTGAGAAGGATACCACCCGTTGCAGGAAATGAAAGAAGGAAGGGCCACAGAGCAAGGGAGTTGGGCACCCTGAGAAACAGATGCACCCCGGCAACCAGCAGGCAGGGAACAGGAGCTCAGACCTACAGAAGCGGGAACATGGATTCTGCCAGCACTGGAACGAGCTTGGAAAGGATGCCTTCCCAGAGCCTCCGGAAAGACATGCAAATGCCTTGGCTGCAGCCCTGTGAGGCTCTAGCAGAGAACCAGCTGAGCCCCGTTGTGCCCAGACTTTTGAGACAGTAAATGTGTGTTATGTTAAAATTACTACGTTTATGATAATTTCTTCTGGAAAAGATAGAAAGTGAATATAAAGTACTGCCATTGTTCTCTTATCAAAGCAATGAAAAGAACCAATATGGAGGTACCACATGATCAGGAAAGCAGGCAGGTGTAGCTGGGGTGTGATATCTGTTTACTATGGATTCTTTCTGACACAGTTCTCAGCCTTGCCACCGTAGACAATGTATAATGCCCGGCAGTAGCCCTGGCCTCTGTCCACTAGACACCAGGAGCATCCTCTCGCCCTGGCCATGGTAATTAAAAATGTCTCCAGACATTGGTAAGGGTTCCTTGTGGGGTGAAGTTCACCCCAGTTGAGAACTGCTGCTCATTTAAGGGCATAAAGCAAAGAAAAGCTTTTATGGAAAGAAAGCATTGATGTCTTAGCTGTTTTTTCAATGGACAAGGTATTTACTAAATATCCATTTATCTATATGAGCATATTAGTATATTGATATATCCCAACTGTTGTGACCTGCTGTTAGTCCTCAGCAACTGGATATTATGAATACACACTTATGTATACATGTGTGTTATATATTTTAATATCCATTTATAAAAATTTCACATAGTAGAGATATAATACTTCCATTATCAAAATAAAATGCACATGAATTCATCATGTCATTCATCAATGTTGACTTACTGGCTGCTCCAGGCATGCCTGTGGTCAGGCACCAGGGTTCCCTCCTGTATGGAGGATCCATAGTGACAGAGGCAGACAGGTGAAGCACTGAGGTCACTCTGTGTGCCAACAGCAAGGCAGGAGGTGATGCAGGGGGTGACACAGACAGTAACAAGGGAGAGGCCAGTTCTCCAGGTCTCAGAGCAGGGAGCAGTCAAGATCAGCTTCAGAGAGTCAGTTGCAGGGATCAAGTGCGCAGGGCACTGCAGGTAGGCAAACCTGCATGAGGAGGCATCGTGGCTAGGTGTGATGCAGAGCTGGAAATATGCTCTGTGTCTGGAAGCTTTGGTTATGCAGGTGTAAGGACAGCATTGTTACAGGACTACATTGCTTGAACTGTGACCCAAATCTGAAAGCAGCAAAGCAATTTGCTGAAAGTTCTGCAGCAGTCATTTGCTGACACCCCTCCCAGGTTTTCTGAGCTTGGGACCTACTCCTGGAGGTCCAGGCTCTCCCTCAGTCCCTGGGTCTTGGTTCAGATCCACTCTCATTCACCCTGGGGCCAGACTAGCCTCCAGCTCTCATGCATTTGTCTCTGTGTGTCTCCTGTGGCCCGCCAGTCTCAGCCTGCTTGCGCCTCTGTGGGTATCTCCTTCACTTATATTCCTACGGAAAAGACCGATTCACCCAGAGACTCTGGGGTCCACCACGCCTTCAACCACCCAACCCCCAGAAAGAGAAAAGAACTCACATTTGATGAGCACCTCTCCTATGCCCGGCTCTGAGCTAGTCCCTGTATTTCCATTGGCCCATTTAAGCCTGAGCAGAATGTTATCAGATGGTGGCCAGAACTCCACATTAAAGATAACAAAACTGAGACTGACAATGGTTAGGTGACATGAGGTTTAATATGTGGCCAAGTTGGGACCAGAACTCAGGCCGGTTCTACTCTAAGACATGTGCTTAGTCTTCCATTGCATTCTTAGACTTGGGGAAGAGGGTCCTTCTCTGGGGCCTCCCCAGCCAGGCCAAGAGGACACGCACATGAAGAGCGGGGCTCCACCAACGCAGCTCCAGGCACCCAGGATCTCAGGTTTCTCTGCTACCTCATCCCCATCCTGCCTCCTGTGCCTGTACACTTCAACCCCAGGGCCACCCTTTTGAAGGTTAATGGTGCCACAGTATGCTTACTCCTAGGCTTCAGTGTGGACATATAGGTTGGGGTGTCCAAACACATGCACCCAAGACCCCTCAAGGTGTGGAACCTCTCAGGGTGGTCAGGCCACAGGGGACCAAGATGCTGAACTGCAAGAAGGTCAAGAATTCTCAACTTGAAACTTGCCTCTCAGGTTGTTACGAAGGTCAAAGTAGGAAGTTAGAGTATTTTTCATTGAACAGTTTGTTAGCTTGAGGTATACCTTTTAAATATTTTGATGCAGGATGTATAGACTTCCCTTTGCACCCTTTCTCTGGGCCAGCATATTTAGAAATCTATCCCTTTTTCTCACTGATTATCTTGTTGAAAGTTTTCATAGCAAATGGAGATCTCATTTTCCACGTAAGAGACGAAAGCTTGGTTTTCTCCTGTCTGACAATCTTAACAAGCAACTTAAAAATCTTAAAGGATATTGCAATGGGGTATATTACCTTTTCTTTATCAAGAAGCTCTTGTAAAATAATTTGTCTTTCCCGACACAGTTCCAAGAAGTCTTCTGAGTGCAGACTTTCGTGTAAGGCTGGGAAGAAGGTCAGCTGGGTGCAGTCCACCCCCACCTCATCAGGCTCGCCCTCAGCCTCCCTCGGTGTCAGTTCATCTGCAGCAGCATAAAGGGACACGTGGTGTTGACAGGGGCTACCTGACATGGTAAGGGCTGGTACACAGCATGTGCCTACATCACTGAGGAGTAGCAAGGCTCCAGGGCTGAAATCAAGAGCGTGGATCTCTCACTGTGCCCCTCCGCTGCTTCTGGAAATGGACACCACACACCTGGGGCACCCCGGGGTGTGGTCAAAATACCTTCCAGTTGACTTATCCTGGAGGGCCCAGCTATGCCCAGGCCTAGCTGTTCTGCTACTTCCAGTGGCCACAGGGCAACATTTCCAAATTCACCCTTGTTAGTCAGTAAAGCAACTCCCTAGAGGTTCAGCCAGGATTTGCTTTCTCTGAATTTCACTCCATTCACTCTTTGAATATTGCTATTTTTTCTCATGATAGAAACAATATCTTTTTATTGTAAAAAAAAAAATCTTGGAAAGGACATGAAGCTGTAAGAAATAAAACAAATCTCACCCATGCACCCAGAGATAGTGCTAATAATAATAGCTCCCTTTCTCTGTGCCAGATACTTCTGATGACATTTTAAAATGTTGTCCCATCTAGGCTGGAGATATTTCATCCTCACTTGACAAATGGAAAAGCTGAAGCAGGCTGTACAAATTACTTTGCACAAGATCAGATGGCTTCTAAGAACTAGAGGTAGAATCTGAATAAAGTCTCTCTGAGACAAGGGTCTAGTCTTTTCATCTCTAGTCTGTTTGGCTCCACTGTTTACAATTTGGTCCATTTACTTCCATTATCTTTTCTGTACTGGATGAATGAAAGTGTCTCCTGCTCACGCAAACCCTCACAGCTTTCCCCCATGCAGGGAGAGATGCATAGGAGAGGCATGGTGGAAAACCACAGGGCCTTTCTTTTCCTTTGGCTGAGCTCCCTACTCAGAGTGCATACTGGAAACACCACGGAGGCCCAGAGTCACAGAGGCCCAGGGGCTCTGCATACCAAGAATGAGAGGACACTGCAGCCCATGGCCATCGTTGACAAAAAATCAGTTCTTGCTTTCCACCACTGCACTCTCTGCAACCCCCACCTCTGAGAGGTGGAGCAGGCAGGCAATCATTCCATGTGAGAGTTGTAGGGCTTGGGGTGGAGAAACGAGAGGCAAACAGGTATCACAATGTCATTGCACACTCTATGCCACAGTAAGACCCCAAATCACCCGGGGATCACAGCCCAAGATCCTCACTTCTGGGCTTGTGTTACTGCAGACAGGCAAGGTAGCAAGCTCAATACAAATCCATTAGTCAGGAAATGAGACGAGTTTGATCAGCACTAAGAAGTAGTCATTGGCCAGGTGTGCTGGCTCACGTCTGTAATCCTAGCACACTGGGAGGCCAAGGCAGGCGGATCACTTGAGCTTGGGAGTTGGAGACCAGCCTGGGCAATGTGGCAAAACCCCATCTCTACAAAAATTACAAACATTATCTGGGCATTGTGGTACGTACCTGCAGTCCCAGCTACTCTGGAGGCTGAGGCAGGAGGATTGTGTGAGCCCAGGAGGTCGAGGCTGCAGTGAGTTGTGATTATGCCACTGCACCCCAGCCTAGGTGACAGTGCAAGACCCTGTCTCAAAAATTGTTTGGGAACACTTTTAAGATCCCCCTGATACAGCAAATTGATAAGACTGTTTCTCCCCCAAAATTGTTATTGTTGCAACCTTAATAGAAAATGCTTCCCCTAACAAATGTCTAGGGCTAATATCGACTTGTCTTCTTTCTGGAAGCACAGTAACAATAAGTCCCAGTGCTGGATACAATAGCATTTTCCTCTTTTAAAATATTCATTTAATATCTTTAATAACATATTAAATAAAACCAATAATTAGCTTAATTATTAAAGGAAAAAATAGATAAACTGAATACCTTGGTTTTCAGCATTTGTTTGAGAAATATTTTTGTCTTGGCTTTCCTGAAATAAGGATGGAACAAAGAAAAATTAAATCTCGGATACTACATACATGCTTCACCCGCCCCCAGTTCCACAGATTCACAAACACACACATGCATGTGACCCCTTCAAATTACGCAAGACTCAGATGCAAAGGGAGAGAAACACTAAATCCTAAAGGACCACAATAAAATGCAAGTATTAATGTTCCTGAGTCAAAGGGGAAAAAACCCACAATCTTCCATTAAGTAGGACTTACAGTAATTACCAAAGAAGAGGCCAAGATGGGATTAGATAGCATCCTGGATGTCTCTGTGTGGGATACCCTGGAGAGGGGACCAGGGGAGGTTCCAGGGCTGGACAGCCCCAGAGACCAGGCTTCATAGCCAGCCCTTGGCTTTGGCACCAGCACAGTGAGCAGGCTACTTATTTTATTTTATTTTATTTTTGCTTCTTATTCCTAAAAAATGTAGTGAGGGAAAATACTACAAACCACCAAGTGTTTATTGACAATACTTGGAAACTTTCTAAGTGTCTACTGAATAAATGAAATATAATTTTTTTCATTAGGTTTTACAAAGGATTTTTAGCATGAGTAAAAGATGCTGAGGTTACAGACCAGAGACCAAACTCAACATTGTTACTTGTAATACATGCAGAAGAAAAAAATCCAGCATTCTGGTGTTTGGAAGGCTGCCTTTGAGGATATTTTAAATTATGATCATTCAATAAAGACATGGAAAACTATTGACAGATTTTCTGTATCTACTACCAAATGAATCCAACTGGCTTCCTGTCTTTTAAAAGGCAAAATAGGAGTTTGGCGACACAGTTCAAGCTTCATTACAGCAAACTCCCAGGGACTACCCAGATTCTGTTGCTTGGGAAGTCAGTGTTGTTTGGAATGAGTGGATCACTGGCTCAAAATTGCAGAAACAGTCAAGTTTGTGAGATTTTCATTGTAAAACTTGCTATTTGCTAGCAGACAATGTCATTCCCTGCCCGTTCCAACACTGGGCATCCAGATGTTTCACAGGCTTGTATGGTTGCAGCACAGGG